TTGAGAAAATTTGATAGATGTCAGCACAAGGGTTTATAAACAAACAGTCTTATTTTTCCCTTCACCATCAAGATGTACAGTTATGGTTCAGACTGACTGACTGTACATATTATACAATATGACGCGGCTGTTTTTTATCTTTTCAAAATCGATTTTTATATCTATTTTTGTGTTTTTTGATCTCAGAAAACCAAAAATCACATTTTCTAAATATATATATATATATATATATATCTACACATTATATTTGAACGTATCAATGCAATAGAATCGGTCCAGCGCTCGGACCCACTCTCGAATGGTAGTCAGGTAGCAGTGAGCAACAACGGCCCACCCACTGCTACTCGACTACCATTAAAACGTGCGTCCAGGCGCTTGACGGGTTATTGCATTGACACGTTCATTTTCATATATATCTCGAATACTAAAAGAGCTAAAGATATACATTTTTTTATAATTGTATAGGATATTTTTTATTTCTCTCTCCTCTCTCTCTTTTTTATTCTCTCTCTCCCATACGTTATATTATATGATAGATAGGTAGCCGGGGAGGTACGAATTCAACACAAATAAACTCTACACAAGAAAATACTGCTCCGTTAACTGTACACGAGTCAATTCTCCCCTAGTGAAAAAAATACGTATAATATAATAGAATATAATATACTAATAAACAAAAATATATTCCATATTTATATATTCCGAAATATTAAAAATTATAGACACGTATATTTATACGTATAATTCTTGTTTCAAATTCGTATGTCTTATTATACGTATATTTATACGTAATATTATTCGCATAATTATACGTGTTTTTTCAATAGGATCAACAAAATTAAATCAAAATTCTTCACAATTAAATATTACATCGAAAAACCCTACATAATAAACTATTTACTAGAAAATTATCTTCATAAACTCTACACAAATAAACTCAACACATTAAGATTTAGAATGAGAAAAATAAAAATATTTTTTTTTATAATTCTACACAAATAAATATTACATTAGTAAATTCTACACAGCTATAAAAAATAATAAATTAAATTCGACACAATTAAATACAACACATGAAAATAATCTTTCCTTTTGTGTCGAATTTAATTTATTATTTTTTATAGCTGTGTAGAATTTACTAATGTAATATTTATTTGTGTGGAATTATAAAAAAAAAATATTTTTATTTTTTCTAATTCTAAATCTTAATGTGTTGAGTTTATTTGTGTAGAGTTTATGGAGATTATTTTTTAGTTAATAGTTTATTGTGTAGGGTTTTTTGATGTAGTATTCAATTGTGTAGAATATATTTTTACTTTATCTTATTGACAATTTACTCGTGTACAGTTAGCGGTGGAGTATTTTCTTGTGTAGAGTTTTCTCGTTTTGAATTTAATTATTTTCATTTAATGTGTTGTGTACAGTTTATTTGTGTAGGATTAAAATGTTTTTATTTGCTGTGTAGAATTTATAAATGTTGAGTTTAATTCTGTAGAATTTTATTAATAATCGGAAATAAAGAAAATATTATTTTCATATGTAAAATTTAATTGTGTCGAATCAAATTTTTTATTTTTTATAGCTGTGTAAAATTTACTGATGTATTTATTTGTGTAGAATTATTAAAAAAAATTTTACAGTTTTCTAATTCTAAATCTTAATGTGTTGAGTTTATTTGTGTAGAGTTTATGAAGATAATTTTCTAGTAAATAGTTTATTATGTAGGGTTTTTCGATGTAATATTTAATTGTGAAGAATTTTGATTTAATTTTGTTGATCCTATTGAAAAAACACGTATAATTATGCGAATAATATTACGTATAAATATACGTATAATAAGACATACGAATTTGAAACAAGAATTATACGTATAAATATACGTGTCTATAATTTTTAATATTTCGGAATATATAAATATGGAATATATTTTTGTTTATTAGTATATTATATTCTATTATATTATACGTATTTTTTTCACTAGGGGAGAATTGACTCGTGTACAGTTAACGGTGCAGTATTTTCTTGTGTAGAGTTTATTTGTGTTGAATTCGTACCTCCCCGGCTACCTATCTATCATATAATATAACGTATGGGAGAGAGAGAATAAAAAAGAGAGAGAGAAGAGAGAAATAAAAAATATCCTATACAATTATAAAAAAATGTATATCTTTAGCTCTTTTAGTATTCGAGATATATATGAAAATGAACGTGTCAATGCAATAACCCGTCAAGCGCCTGGACGCACGTTTTGATGGTAGTCGAATAGCAGTGGGTGGGCCGTTGTTGCTCACTGCTACCTGACTACCATTCGAGAGTGGGTCCGAGCGCTGGACCGATTCTATTGCATTGATACGTTCAAATATAATGTGTAGATATATATATATATATATATATATATACACTACCGTCGGAAATTGTCGGTACGATTGACGTGCGCGGGATGAAATGTTGGTGTCGCACCTAAATTAAGATATTTTAAGTTTGAGAAAAGCTACACTGAGAGACCTTTTAGACTGCAGCGGAACAAGGTAAGTGACAGCAGCGCCACTATGGTTTTGGTGTGCGGCGGTACAATTTTGGGAGCGTGACTGTCCAAAATTTTGGTGAGTAGCTCACCGAAATAGTGGGGACGCCACACTTGGTTTGTAGCTGTACAACTTTTTGGCAGTCACGCGCCCAAAAATGTACATCAGTAGCCCAAAATGTACCGCAGCAGCCCAAACGTATAGTCTCGTAGCTTACCAACAGAATGCTCCGCAGCCCCCTGTCAAAAGTCGGCTACGGTGCAAAAGGTCTCTCAGTGTAGAGACTTGAAACTTAGATCACCTGAAAGCTGATAAAATTCTGCTTTTGAATATATACCTAGAATTTTTTTTCGACTTTCTGGAGCGATTATAACACTGGAAAGATTTCGAAAAAAAACGTCTACTTTTCCCAATTTCGTACCCAGTTTTTGATTCCCTGCATAATCTAGGAAAATGCAAGGAAAAATTTGTAACTCCTACAACATAATCTTTAAGATCTTAGCTTTATAAGTAATTTTTAAGACTTAAAAAATATTGTTTCGTTTTTGAGATAAGTTGAAAAATGTCAGAGCATGTTTTTTACACAACTCAGCGTCAAAGATTAGTTCTTGCATCCCCGCTGCTTCGCCCGTTCCTTGCGCCAGGGCCGAATATGCGTGCGGGCCCCTGCTTAAAACCCGTCTTGTATATTCTTACATTTACAGTTATTGATTATTATAAATGTTATAAATATTTTATTATTATTAATATTTATATTATTATTATTTATTATATTATATTATATTATATTATATTATATTATACTATATATAATTTAGTGTACATTTAGTGTACAATATTAAAAAGTATTTGTTAAACTTTTAATTAACTAATAATAATAACATTTTTTAAATAAATTAATTAATATTCTAATAATCAATAACTGTAAATGTGAGAAAATACAAGACGGGTTTCAAGCAGGGGCCCGCACGCATATTCGGCCCTGGCGCAAGGAACGGGCGAAGCAGCGGGGATGCAAGAACTAATCTTTGACGCTGAGTTGTGTAAAAAACATGCTCTGACATTTTTTAACTTATCTCAAAAACGAAACAATATTTTTTAAGTCTTAAAAATTACTTTTAAAGCTAAGATCTTAAAGATTATGTTGTAGGAGTTACAAATTTTTCCTTGCATTTTCCTAGATTATGCAGGGAATCAAAAACTGGGTACGAAATTGGGAAAAGTAGACGTTTTTTTTCGAAATCTTTCCAGTGTTATAATCGCTCCAGAAAGTCGAAAAAAAATTCTAGGTATATATTCAGAAGCAGAATTTTATCAGCTTTCAGGTGATCTAAGTTTCAAGTCTCTAGCTTTTCTAAAACTTAAAATATCTTAATTTAGGTGCGACACCAACATTTCATCCCGTGCACGTCAATCGTACCGACAATTTCCGACGGTAGTGTATATATATATATATATATATTTAGAAAATGTGATTTTTGGTTTTCTGAGATCAAAAAACACAAAAATAGATATAAAAATCGATTTTGAAAAGATAAAAAACAGCCGCGTCATATTGTATAATATGTACAGTCAGTCAGTCTGAACCATAACTGTACATCTTGATGGTGAAGGGAAAAATAAGACTGTTTGTTTTTAAACCCTTGTGCTGCCATCTATCAAATTTTCTCAAAAACTACTTTCTCTTAGATTTATCACATGATACTATTCCTCACTAAGTCTACAACGAAAATACTACAGCTGGATACTACACATATACTTTAAATTTACTACAGGTATACCTGTAGTACACTTATAGTATACCTGTAGTACATTTGTAGTAAATCCTGTAGTATTTTGCTGTAGTCACTCTGTAGTACTTTTTTGTAAGGGTTGCTGATCAGTTCACGTTCCGTTCCACTAATTCCTAATATTCAAGATTCAATTGGTGTTTTTTCTTGTATAGTATTTATAAAAATAAATAATAAAGTTTTGCTCTTTTCATAGCGTTTAATAAGAAGGGTATTGAAAATAGAAAGATTTTAGTAATTTTAAGAATAGTAAATTAAATATTAAATTATTGTGTTCTAAGGTAAGGTATAAGGTATACTAAGGTATACTACATAGTAAATAAAATTAACTAAATTAGAACATACGCTTATTTTCTAAGAAAAATATGGAGAAAGAGATTTGAGGTGATCTTGATAGCGTTTCGTGTAATAGTCGAAATTTTTGTCAACTAGCACTTTAAATTTAAAATTATCAATAAAAATTTCATGTTAAACATTTCATAACCCAGTAGGCTAAGCTAAACCTGTAAATTTATGTACAGTACTAATTTAAAAAAAATTTAAAAAGATAATTAAAAGTGAAATAAGTTTTTAAAACAATTTAATTTTTCAAATTTTTTTATTGAAAATCATATTAATGTTAAAGAAGTTTAAAGTATAAGTATTAATTTTATTAAAAAAGATGAATCACAAAGAAATTGACGATTTACTCTTCATTTTTTTTTGAAATAATTAAATGCTCCATATCGAAATAACAGTTTTTTCTTTTAGTTGGAGGAATTTTGCACCAAGCGTCCCAAAGAATGTCAATATATGTTTGTGAAAGCTTTTCAAAATTCTGTTGACTTGATGAGTGAGAAGAGATTAGAAAATTTTGAAAAATATTACCTACAAAGCATAAAAAAAATTATTTTAATATTTATAATAATAAACCCATTATTTTCAAATATAATTTTATTAAATTTACCTGCACCTCCTTCAGCACCACTCATCACATCGTCACGCATAGGTGTCTCTGTAACACGATTTACTTGTGTATTTTCCTTTCCAAACGGGTGGGTGCTGATCGTTCTTAAAAAAAATGGGTTAATAAAATTTTGTTTACAAAATTTTATTTTTGAACTTACCTCCTATGTTCAACTTGATCCTCTAAGAAACCCATTTCGGTGTAATAAATCCATTGGTCTTTTTGTTGCTGTTGACCCGAACCTGATGGAATATATTTTTTTAGTTCTGCTACATAATTCATGTAGCAGCTTTTTAATTCCTTCCACTGTGATATCACTTGAGCAACTGTAAAATAAAAATTAGAATAAGGTTAAAACATTATTTCTTTCATCATTTCTTCAAAAATTAATTTAAAAAAGTAATATCAAAGTTTTTATAATATAAAAAAACTTTTAAAAAGTGACACTTAACGAACAATCGTTTTACTTATCGATGTCGATAACAAGAAACTTATTAAGAATTATGTTTTAATTAGAAGTAATTCAAACGTATGACGGTAAACATTCCAACATAATTTGAAAACAAAAATTTAATTTCATCCTTGAGTAAAGATTTATTAACTAATTTTATAAATTAATCTTTTTAAATTATATTATACTCCATTATTTTACTCACCTTCCGCTTTGTATCCTGTACTGTTATTAAAATCGATCGTAATGCTTGCCCAAGACCGATCTTTTTTTTCATTATCTCTGTACGATGTCAGAGATTTATCGTACAAATTGGGGTGCTGTTTTACTAAGCGAATAAGCACTTGGTTTACATCGTTAACCTCCATAATCAGATCCCTGCAAGTATAAATTGTTTAGCAAACATATAAGAAATGTTACTTTATGTGTAATTTCAGATATTAATAAAGGTAAGTACATTTACATTAGAATTACAAACCTAAAAAAGGAATATATAATTCTATATGTAGTCGTTTTGGATAAATGCTGTAAAAAGGTTTCGGAGATAAAACTATTTCATCTTTAACATCAATTCTATATTCTATTGTATATAAAATTGCTCAATTTCTTTTTTACAATAATCTAAAAACGCTAAATTTTCACCATGAAAATTAATAATGTTTAGTATTGAATAGATATATTATAACATTCATTTAGAACATCTAAAAGGCGACACTTTAAGAAGAATGATCTATATGAACAAAATAATTACGTGCGTAAATATTTTTGGGAAATGTGGTAGTCTAATATTTGTGACGCGAAGAAAGTGAATTAAGATTAAAAAAATTTATAGTTATTTATGTTTATAATTTTTAAAATTATTTTACTGTTATAAGATTTAAAAACAGTTAAATCAATTTATAAATATAACACATACATTACAATTTTTAGGCTCTTCGGTTCATTTCCTTACGTCGCGTCACATTTGATAATTGAACATAACCGCATCAATATATGTATTTTAAATAGTTTTTCTACAGAAATTTGTGACATAAATACATACATCTGAATAATTTTTCATGACAAACTACCTATTTATATATCTGAAATAAAAATTTGTTACAAAACTCCATTATAAAAGACTTGTTGGAGAAAACAATTATACATTGATTATTTATTTGTTCACATGTAACCTTATAATTCTATGAATATATGTTTTAATTGTTGTACACAACTTACTTCTTTCGTTAATCAAAGTAGAATTTTCCTTTTCTATTTATTACAAAATTCTGATAAAACCTTTCAGAGATGTGTAAACAAAACAAAGAATGTACCACATTTTGTGCAATATGGATAGTTGTTGATAAATTCAGTTATTTCCAAATACAATATAGTTGGAACGTGTCACACTCACATGTTGCTATGGAGACGTAATAGTGCGACACCTGCAGCTATCGTGGTGGGCAAATGGTTGAACTACATTTAAAGTTGTCTTTCTATATTGTTTCCATAGATTTTGGTAAATTCGTGTTTAAACTTGAAAATCAAAAAAACGTTTGTTTAAAAAACTTCAGCCGAGGATAAAAACTTATTACGCTAACAAATTATTCATAAATGTCAATCTGTTTCAAATAAAATATGTAATGTAAAAATTTTTTATTAACTTTCGGGATTAAATAGTTATTCTTTTTTTGTAATATATACGCGGAAAAAAAGACACAAGAAATAAGCACGTGGATATTGTACGTAGCGCACATTGTCAAATTTTATTGATATAATGGCGAATGTAATGAGAAGTCATTACGAAAAGTTATTTTTGAAATTAATTGCAAGTAATCCGGTTATCTATGACACACAATTGCAAAGCCGTTATTCGCCACTTGAAATAGATGAAATGTGGAATAAAATATCTAAGTTTCTGGATGAAAATAAATTTCCATTTACAGGTAAGCGAATTTTCATTGAAAAATAAAAGTTGATTTGTATAAATTAATTTATTTCTTTATTCATTTATTTATTTCTTATAATACAATAAGTACTGCAAAAAACATATTAGCTAAATATACAATAGAATGTAAAACACTTATTTCTTATCAGAAGTCATCAAAATATTAATATATATTAAATTTGATTTATAAAAATGTATGCTAGTGGTTAAAGTTTTGATGTGTTGGTGACACTTATTTTTATATCTATGTAAACATACATTTAAATGAAAAAAAGAAAAAAAAATTTTTTCTTCATGTCACTTTTTTTAAAATAAATCATTATTTTCGAAATAAAATTTCAATTTTGATTACTTTTGTTTTATAAAAGTAATATTTTTATTCAACAAAATCTGCATAAGCTTAATAAAGATTAGACTGCAAAATAGATTTTTAAGAAAGTATATAGCGGAAGACAGGTTGAAAAAATAACTTTACTTTAAATTATCTTACAAATGCATCATTAATGTTCTACATGTTAAATTCTATTCCGTACATATATATATATATATATATATATATATATATATGAGAGATTCTTTTTCAATCGCCCCAGCCCAAAAAGTCAATGTTCTGGGATTCGCTTCATACTTTGGTAAATTGTTGTCCTACATGATAGTAATAAATCCCTAAAATATAAACTCATTAAAAAAATATTTGTAGAAAGTAGAGGGGGTTAAAGTTTTGACGTTAAGGGTAACATTGTCATTTCCAAATCCGTATAACTATAACAAAAGTTAATGGATTTTAATTTATCCATAATGAATTTTAATGCATTTTTCATGTACTTTTCAAAAATGTTAACAAAATTTAAAAAAAAAATTTTTTCACCCCTTTTTTTCAAAATCAACCCTTATTTTTCGATTTTCACCCCTTCGGGAATTTTTTTTTTATTTTTTTTATTTTCATTGGAAAGCGGAGGTTTTTTCCTATGAGCTATGTAAATATGAAAGTGGAACAACAATAATTTTGTGAGAAACATAATATTAAAGTAGGCGGTGCCGATAAGGGGTATACCTGGAGATCATCTTTGAGGATTTAGGTAGGCACCGCCTAATTTAATATTATGTTTCTCACAAAATTATTGTTGTCCCACTTTCATATTTACATAGCTCATAGGAAAAAACCTTAGCTTTCCAATGAAAATAAAAAAAATAAAAAAAAAAATTCCCGAAGGGGTGAAAATCGAAAAATAAGGGTTGATTTTGAAAAAAAGGGGTGAAAATTTTTTTTTTTTAAATTTTGTTAACATTTTTGAAAAGTACATGAAAAATGCATTAAAATTCATTATGGATAAATTAAAATCCATTAACTTTTGTTATAGTTATACGGATTTGAAAATGACAATGTTACCCTTAACGGCACCCTTATCGGCACCGCCTACATTAATATTCTGTTTCTCATAAAATTATTGTTGTCCCATTTTCATATTTACATAGCTCATGGGAAAAACCCTCAGCTTTCCAATGAAAATAAAAAAAAAAAAAAAAAATACCCGAAGGGGTGAAAATCGAAAAATAAGGGTTGATTTTGAAAAAAAGGGTTAAAATTTTTTTTTTAAATTTTGTATACATTTTTGAAAAGTACGTGAAAAATGCATTAAAATTCATTATAGATAAATTAAAATCCATTAACTTTTGTCATAGTTATACGGATTTGAAAATGACAATGTTACCCTTAACGTCAAAACTTCAACCCTCTCTACTTTCTACAAATATTTTTTTAATGAGTTTATATTTTAGGGATTTATTACTATCATGTAGGACAACAATTTACCAAAGTATGAAGCGAATCCCAGAACATTGACTTTTTGGGCTGGGGCGATTGAAAAAGAATCTCTCATATATATATATATATATTTAATTTTTTAAAAAACAAATTTGTTAGGATGTATAGAAAAGTTTATATAACATTACAATATGATCAAGAAATATTATGTTTATTATCATTTATAGATGCCAAACTGAAATGGACAAGATTGAGAAGGAATTTCATACATAATTACAATAAGAAGAAGCGAAGTTGGCATTTGTATATGCTTTTTCTGGTTGGACATTTCAAGGAGTAAGGAATAAATTATTTCTACATCAGGAGGGGTATAGTTGTTCTTGCATGAAATAGTAGAATTAATAATAGTATTTTATATTCTTAAATCTTAATAAAGCGTTTTTGAAGATCATCATTTTTTGAGTGAATCACCTTAAATGTAGATTCAAATCATTGATAAAATTAAATTAATTCAATTACATTCTGTCAAGTAGAAATTATATAAGAAATTAATTAATTTCAGAGCTCATGCATGTGAATTATACTATTTGTAATTCTTCTTTTTAAAATACATTGCGTTCAATATCACTAATTTAAAAATATTTAAATTTTTTTTGGCGCATTAGAACTGTTAACAAAAGCACATCAAGTGCCCAGAATGTTATGAGACCGACTCAATCGACGTCCAGTGGACATCAGGAGCCTGCAGAACATTTAATTCAGCAGCGTACGTATTTATTCAGTCATTCTATCAATGTTTTTACAAAATTTGCGGATCGTTGCAAATCTTTTTTTGTTGCTGTTGCCTATAGGCGTAAATTCATTTATTTTTGCAAGAAATATTTTTAAAATGCACATAGCAATTATAAATATTATTTAAAAAAAAGGGTATATGATTGACTGAAAAATTTTCAAAAAAATAATATCCCAAAAGTATATTTCCAAATTTGTTGTTTCTTATTCATACATTTGCAAGTAAAAATATAAAAAAAAACATTTATTTATTTTTTACTACGAAATTTCATCTACAATTCTTGCTATTTTCCCAATCGTTGGTTGTTACAAAATTATGCTGTTCTTCCTGCAGTCGCAGTATCTTATTCTTATGTTAAGAAAGGTTATTAATTGTTAATATGTATATTCATCTTAATGTTCATTTAAATAACATTTTTAATTTATTATCTACAAATAAGGCTTGTTATTTTCATAATTTTTTATATTCTACTATTTATACGAATTTTTGTCATATTTACAGGTACAAATGATGTTGCATATCCTCCATTGTGTACCACTGCATCAACTAGTGGCGGTCAACAACATCAAACTGGTATTAAACTTGAGGAAACATCAACGCATGTAAAACACGAGGTGCTTTACTTTTTGGATGAGGTTATAGACGTTGATCATGATGAATGTGAAGTTGAAGATTTCCCTGAAAATAATATCGATTTCAGTTACGATGATGATGATAATTATTTACCTAACGACAATACTGTGAACAGTTGCAACAGTTCATCAATTGCACAATCTTCTCAGATCAGCAATGACGACAGTTATGAATATAATATGAATGATGTACGTGTATTGGGTACACCTTCGATCGCAGTTCCGTCAACAGTGACACCTATTCTTTCCTGTAATCTAAATAAGGCAGTCGATGATAGTTTGAAGACAAATCTATCGCAGAATTTTAACGAAGGACTTACATCGGCGATATCACTTCAGGGGACAGACATCCTTCTTTTAAATAATGCATTGTTGAATTTTAACGATATACCAATGCCAAAAACATCTTCGTCGATTCAATTTCAACCGCCAAGACTGGCTTCTCCGAATAATTCGAATTTATCAACGTGTGGTACCATCAAAAAACAAAATGTGCGACACTATAAATCTGTCAATCCATTTACATCTGCTCCTGCAAACGCATGCAAATTCCCACGAGTGTCTGATATTCCTCAATCAATACTTAGTCCAAACGAACCAATTGTCCCTCTCTCTGATAAGTTTTCCAGGAAAAGGAAAAATGCAGATATCAACATCGTTAAGATTGAAGAGGCAGTAAGCCGTTCAGCAGATGATTTGCACTCAGTTGCTATTAACATGAATCAGACAATGCAATTGAAAGCAGAAATTTTAAGAAAGCAATTGGAGCCTGCAGCTTCAGATCCACTGTTTCGACTTTTAACACACAATTGGGTGCAGCTTTCTCTTCGTGCTCAAGGTGAAATACTAGCCCCAGCTTTAGACATTATGGAGAAATATGTAGATACTCCATAGTGGTTATAATCAACAGCAATATAACGTAAACCAGTATTATTACTTATTGTGTTTTTTTAAGTATTTAAAAACCTTTAATGTCTTAAAGACATTGTTTACGTATTATTCTTTGTTTTCAACATAAATTTTTTCGAGATGTTTCGAATATTTTACTTCAAATGTAGTTAATGTCTATTTATTTTCGTTTGAGGATACAAATGTTATCCTTGTTTACGTCTTAAATTTAAGAATGCACCATTACCTCTCAGATCAAACTTTGATTTTTTTTATCTTTTAAAATGATAAGTTTTTAAAAAAATTTTAAAAGGAATTTATTAATTCTTCTTTTTGCACGACAGTAATACATCAGACATGAAATTTTCTACTTTTAAATACAAAAGTTCGATCCTAGAGGTTATATATTGCAGTATCTTATGTTAAAGTAGTATTATTATTTATTATGCTGTTTTTTTACATTTCAAATGTTTAATAAGCTTAAGTTCTATTATTTCTACGTTGATGTAATAAAACTCAACGAAACTTATTGAAAATATTTAAAGCAAATTTATATAAGTATAGTTGAATTAAGGGCATTTCATTTGCATGAATCACATGTTTCTGAAATTTAAAAAGCGAAAATCCTGCCGAAGGTTACCGTGCATTTTATCGTTATGTTGCAATACCATTTTTCTTAGTAATAACTTAAACGTTCAAAGAATTTAATTTCGGTGTCATTGCATAAAGATTTTTTTTTAGTATTTTCAAGATTTGAATATTATACGTTTATATCATACTAAAAGATACCGTGTCACATTTTACAAATCGGAGTTTAGTTTCACCGTTTCTTTGTTATTTGCCAAAAACAATAATTAGTATCAAGTTTCGAAATATATGTAAAATATATCACTATATTAAAAGACTTCGATTTGAAAAATGTTACTGCATTATTATTCTGTATTGCGCTAATGTTGTAACAAATAATTTACCATAAGAAAATACTCACTACTATTACGGGTAATTCAAAAACACTCGTACTGTGATATCGTTGTATATTTAATGATATTTAATTTTTAAACAAGAGTTAAGAACTACATTATAAATATGAATAAGAATTTCGTACAAATAACGTGAAAACAGAGTGCGTGATAGTAAAGCAAAAGTAATTTTAAATTCTTGTTAGTAAAAATGGAAGTTTATATTATAAGAAAAGAAAATATATGTATCTTGGGAAGTCATATTAACAGTTTTATTCCTTATTGTAATAAAACAAACAATTATCGAATTTCGTAATTTTTAAGCATAAGGGTACGGTCACACGACTTTTGGAAAAACCATTCTTGTCTTTCTCTCTCCTATTACAGACGCATAAGTTTGTCTCACTCTGCATTTTCCGTCTTTGGGAAATGTAAGAAAATGCAGAGTGAGACAATCTTATGCCTCTGTCTTAGGAGAGAGAAAGACAAGAATGGTTTTTCCAAAAGTCGTATGACCGTACCCTAAAGAAGTAAAAAACGTTTTTCCATGAAAATGTACTATCGCGATCTAGTCACAATAAGCGGCCGTCTCCTTTGCTCCCTTGCACCCGCGATTTATTATGTTCTTCATTAAATTATTTATACATATTTAAAATTTCAATCTACAATTCTTTGCTCTTCTGAAAACATCCTGTACATTTGTTGATTGGGAGAATTTAAAAATTATGAAATCAATTAATGATTACCTTTTAATCACCAGTTTCATTTTTTAAAAATTCTGTTTTCTTATTTTTCTTATTTCATTATTATTCATAAAATTGGATAATTTTAAATCCTCAATGTCATTAAAATATAAAAATAAAGTTTAAATTTGTTGTACTCCTTTAATTCAATAATCTTGAAATTGATTATAGTAATTTGAGACGGAATAATTTATTATTAAGAGAAATATATCAAAATTAAATAAATGATCAAAGTTTAAAATTATTCCTCACCCAGCGCGACCGGGTTCAGAGTTGCTGGGGCTCTATTTGACAAAATAAAATAAAGATTTAGTTGCACGCGGACGCCAGTTAATTTATTAATTAAAATTAACAAAAGACTTGATCACAGGGAGGGAAGTTGGTGAACCCAAATACAAAATACAAAAATAAAATATTAAGCGACTTCCAGGAATATTGAATTTATTACAAAAGATAAAATAAAAGTACATTAATCACTTACTTGAAAGATCAAATATGATCAAATATCGACTCTTTCCAATTTTTGTTCAATAATATATAATTTTGGATAATACTGATCTTTAATACAATTCCAATATTCGATAGATCAATTCAGACAATATAATTTAGTATAATTCAAACAATATAATTTGGTGTAATACAACCAAGGAGATATACTCCCAACACACAAGACGTACGGACAAAGAGTGAGGAACGGACCCGACGATTTTCGGTAATGCGCCAATATATTGAACTATTGGCGCTTAGATCGATGTAAGGTCACAGGGGCGAGTTATTGACCTTTTTCCCTAACCCTTATCCTAGGATATTTGATCATTTATTTCTCAAAATAATGTCAAGAAATATTTTCCCGTCACATTCTCCCCCTTCGGACTTGACGTTAGTTTGAGAAAGAAAACTGAATCTGAAATAACTCAAACAATCTGTAAATAATATCATTAACAAAACATTTTATAAAATAAACAAATAAAATAATAAATGAAAGTGATTAATGTCTGAAAAGAAATAATTAGTTGTCATGTTTGATTCTAAATTTATTTCAAGAAAAGAAAAAAACAATTCCTGGAAGTTTCCTAATAATTGTTGTCGATTTTTAATTTTCTTTATTTATTGAAAAGAACTTACGTCGTAAATTACAATTATAGTATCAAAAATAAAACTTTCCTTTTAAGAAGGGTAAAACAAAGTAATACTATTTTTGCTTTGGTTCAGATCAATAAGTCATAAATGTAAATTAAGATAAGATCAAAGTTATTAAAAACAAAATTTGTACTCTCGTTTCGAGATCAGTCTTTGATCAGTCTATTTGTCTAATTTTTGGAGTTCTTTTTGTATTTCGTTGGCACGATGACCTTGTATTCCTCTCCATCGGACAATTCAGGTCGAAGAGCCATCACCTCGTCAAGAGATTGATCAGCAAACTCGGTCGTCAATGATTGAACAGCTTGGCGACGTTTTTCCTCCGACAGATCTTTCTTTGAAGGTGTCATGTTGTTCGCTGGTTTTTCGATAAGAGAAAGAGCGTTCTCCCTGATCAAAAATGCCCTCACACGATTGACATAATCGTTTTGATTCGCAAAGTTTGCCTTGATCTTCCGGCGAAGCTGCTCCTCCGTATGCTCATTGATCAAATATTTATGATCAGATGGTATTGCCCAAGCTGGCAAGGTGACGTAGTTCAACCGAAGCCAGTCGACAAGTCCAGCGTAACGAATATTGCAATCCGGACATTCAGGACAATAGATGCACAGATCGTTAGAGCATCCTACGCATTTGTTTAGAGCCAACTCGTGCTCAACTCCATGAGGATATATGCAGTCAATGGTCTCGAATCCATCTGCTCCACAGATCAAGCAAAATCCAGGTCTCATCGGCATCTTGCACTCCGTGAAACGATGCTCGCGTGACCTGCAGTTCACGCACGCAGCAGTTCTCTGTTTGCCCGTCACAGAAACAAAGGTCTGAGTACCTTGATCAACTTTCTTAGCTTCCATCTTTTTAAGAAAGATCTCAGCTCTCTTCGTGATCAAATTTTTGAGCAGCTTTTCCGACAGCATCCTGCAGTCCACCATGTAAAGAGGCTGGAATTGATTTTCAGAATCAACCAAAGTCGGAACTCCCAATTCCTTCATGACATCCTGGAAAGTTGGAATGTCATTGATCGTATATGGCAAAGGTTCCACCTTTACCAAAGGAGCGATGACAGAATCAGTTCTATCGGTCATCCTCATCTGCTGACCATCCTTCCTCAGCATTGGCTTCACATCAGGAATGCGATTCCTCTTCTTATTTTCTGATCGAATATCAAATGGAGTCACCCTGACAGTATTTGTCAACTCGATCTTGGGTGGTTTCCGATTACGGAACTCGTTGATCAATTGTTGAGCATCCGCAGAAATCTCGTCAATGCGCCGCTCGCTCGTTGTACTTGACGAAGTTAAGTTCTCGTCAAAAAGCGAAGCATTGTCATCAAAGATCTGATCAATTTGGTCATCTTGACCCTTGAAGTCAGACACCTTCAAAGTCATTTCTCGCATCAGATCGTCCATCTGTTTTTTACAACGGACTAGTTTGTCCCATTGTTCTCCAAGATCACCTGCTTCTTCTGGATCAAAATTCGCAGCCATATCTCTGCTCATCCTTCCCTCAACAAGCAACCAATCAGACCTGAACTGTCCAAATTCGTGATGACCTCAGTCCTCCAGATGAATGCGCGCAGTTGATCGATCTACAAATAAATTTCATGACAATCGCAAACTCCGACGTGGTATTTTCAAATTAGAGACTGAATATTTGCCAACAACTTTACCATTTCTGTCTGACAGTTGGACTGTACCCGGACCATAAACTTTAGAAATAATAACTGGACCTACGTAACGGTGAGCCAACCTAGAGGAATAATTTTCAGCCTTACTGCTTAGCTTTTTGTTCGGATAATAAACCTCCATTCCCACCTCAAGTTCAACTGACAGTTTTCTATCGGCATTCGACTTGGCAAGTCGCTTTTCAGAATAATTCTGCAATTTACTTTCGACTTTATGACGTAACTCGTCGATTATTTTCATGCGATCAACCCAAGCCTTCGTCGCGTCATCAGCAATTTCGTCAGTACCCACCTCACAGTCGGTTGATTTCAATTCTCGTCTCGCGATAGCCTCATAACCATGATTCAAGAAAAATGGCGAAACGCGAGTACCAGTATGAGGTACGGTGTTACATGCAAATTGTACTTTAGACAAATTCTCGTCCCATTCTCTATGATCTTGATTTATATAAGCGGAAATTATAGGTTTTATCGTTCGATTTACTCGCTCTAC